AGAGCATTTGAAGGGTTGGAAACTTTTGCCACATACAGTAGCTTTGAATATATATATAATATATACCTTATAAAAGATTTACAAGACAAAGATCTAGAGGTAATTTAAAGCTGCTTTTGTCACCACTGCTTGGGGGATTGTTTGACTTAATACATAAAGGCTTACACAATTCTATTTATCACTTTATAGTTTTATGTTTCCTGTAAAAATAGCAGTTGGTCTAAATATTAATAACCATTGTATGGAAGGTCAGTTGAAATGTTAAATTTAGAAATGTTTTTAATTGGAAACCTGAGCCACAAATGTTGGTCACATTGTTTAAAGCATTATTCCCAGTGTGAGTTGTTAGAAATGTGCTGTATAAATAATTTTGACCTTGAGTCATCAGTACTCAAGGTCGGATGGTTGAGTACTGATGACTCAGTGTTATGCTAAGAACCATAAACAATCATTGCAAATACAAAAACATGCACTTATTTTTATATATCCAAAAAATTCACTCCATCAACAACCTGCTTGTCGCCTGTCGCTGCCAGCTCTGTCTGCAAGATTGACCTAACACTAAACCTAAAGAAAATTAGTCAACCTATTTCTCTGCTTTTGGTTAAATATTTGTGATACATTTTCCTCCTTTAAGTAAAGAATCTACTGTCTTGTCTTTGTGTGATGTTCAGGTACATCGTGTGCCGCGGTCTGAAACCAGGTTCGGATGCGGTCAGAGAGTACATGTTCAGAGTCAACCTGAAACTGAACCAGCTCAGGAACAGGGACACTGATGTTAGAGAGGTGGTTCCACTGAGCATCATAAAGGATGACACAGACTTCTTCCAGTTCATGGTCAACTCCAATGAGAGGTAGGGGACGCCATTTTCAACATGTTTTACCAGCTGCTTATTTAACAACATTCCTGACAAAGACTGCGTTCTTCTGTGACTTCAGCCTCTGTGCAGTCCAGATCAAGGCCTTGGCTAAGATCCACGCTTATGTCATAGACCCGTAAGCAAACACAACTGGGCAACTGGGTGCAATATTTGTGTTAACTCAGAATCACGTCTGACAGTGACTGTGTTGCAATATTTAAAGGACGCTCGCAGAGCCGAGACAAGCTGACATCAGGAAGGAGTGCTTAAAGCTTTGGGGGGTGAGTGGAGAAACTGTAAACTCTACAGATTTACTGTAATTTGAACACCTTCTTTTCCAGAGAGAAATTTAAAAAAATAGGCATCAATATGTAAATATTTCTTTTGAAAGCACTGAATAATTAATTTTCTTATTTTTTTCCACATACGGTAACTATTGTTTTATACTGTCACTTATGGTTAACTGGTTTCTGATTCTAGGTACCAGACAAAGCTAGAGTCGCTCCTTCTTCATCCGACCCAAAAAGCAAATTCTATGAGCTGACAAAGGTTTGATATGAAAGATATGGAAATATTTTGATCTTTTATGTAAAATCTTGAAAAAGATCAAATGTTGTGTTTAAAGTGAATTTTCTGTCTTGTGTTGTGCCTCAGAATTCAGATGTCGATGCATTCCAGAGTAAAGTAACTCCTCTGGACTCCAAAACGCTCAGTAAGCTGCGACAAATTTTTGACTACAGATGCATTGTGGGAGGTGGAGAGCAGATCTTCCTGCTTGCACTGGGGGTAGGTCTGAAGGGACAGGACTTCTGGTAAAATGTATTTGTCTAGAGCAATAGCAGAGTGCTAATTATGTGCTTTCTTTAAAATTCATTCTCTGTTATCTGACTGTGTAGAAGTCTCAGATATACACGTGGGACGGGAAAATGCCCCTGCGCTGGAAGAAAATGGAAAATTTCAAGCTGGAGCTGCCAAGGGAAACACTCCTCAGTGTGGAGATCGTTCAAGAGCTGAAAGGGGAGGTGAGAACCGGGCCGAATCGTAATGTTTATAAAAACAAAACAAATGGAGAAAAAAAGATCTGGATCAAATATAACACCATCTGTTTGGTTCTCAGGGTAAAGCTCAGCGCAGAATCAATGCTGTCCATGTAATGGATGCACTGATTCTTAATGGTACTGATGTAAGAGATCAGCACTTCAACCAGCGGTAAGATGTTGGCTCTGTTACAGAGTTATCTGGATTTATCTTTAAAACACATTATTTTGTTTGTTTTGATTTCACAATTTTCTTGTTTTTGCTTTGTGTTTTTAAAATGTGCAGAATCCAGATGGCTGAGAAGTTTGTGAAGGCAGTGGCAAAACCCAGCAGACCAGACATGAACCCAATCAGGTGACAACTGGACCAAATTCAGCCATTTTTACCAATTCTTTTACTTTTCACTGGAAAACATCGAATTGAAATTACGAGTACATTATATTTTTATTGTCAAAATTTATCTCAAATTTGAAATCTAAGTCATGCTGTCAAATTATTTTCATTTAAATTTCCCCTGGTACTACATAGTAAATACTCACATGCTTTTTTTTTTCTCCTAACCAGAGTCAAGGAAGTTTACAGACTAGAGGAAATGGAGAAAATCTTTGTCAGGTAAAATACTGATCTCCCATTGGCTACCTGTAATTATAGGGTTTCTCTGTTTTCTGTAAGATCAGTGCTATTTTAGTTGTTTTCATAAGAAATTGTCTCCAACGATGCAAATTGATCTCTGTCTCTTCCTCTAATAGACTAGAGATGAAGATGACCAAGAGTTCAGGAGGCGTCCCTCGTCTGTCCTACACCGGCAGAGATGACAGGCACTTCCTTCCCACAGGTCTCTATATCATTAAAACTGTCAATGGTGAGTATTTGTGCTTTTCAGTATGTAGCAGTGGATGTGCTAAAATATGAAAATAAAAGCAAAACTTTGTTTTTCTTCCTGATGCCCTTCAGAGCCGTGGACGATGGCATACAGCAAAAACTCAAATAAGAAGTTTTTCTTTAACAAGTTAACCAAGGAATCGACTTATGACATGCCACCAAATGCTGCTGCTCCTTTCCGGTACATATACACCTTTCTGTTCAGTCCTACAATACATTGCAAACGTGTCAATTATGAAGGGGTATGAAGTGTTAACAGATTTAAATGGCAATGATATAATAACAGAAAGTAAAGTGGAAGGAAAACATTGTTCTCAGTGGAGCTTAGCAGTCCACATTTTTATTTGTGATAAACTTTTAAAGTGTTGTTTTCCTTCTGCTTATAACTTTGCACAACTTTTTGGTGGTCAACTGCATAGAATTCTAATAAAAAAAACACAAATGTAAGAAAAGTAGATAATCTCTGAAATACCTGGTTTGTTTTAATCCTTCAGCGTCTGTCACTCTGAGCGGCTCTTCTGGGCCTGGGTGGAAGGGGTCATCGTCCACGATTCTCAGACCCGAACGGACCCAGAGAAACTGTCCAAAGATGAATTTTTAACCTTCATCCATCAACATCACCAGTACTGAGTAAAGTAATGAACCCTAAAGATCTTCGTCAGCTGCAGACCGTCCTCTGAGGCACAAAGTGATGGAGCGCCTTGGAAAAGGCCGTGTGATCCATTGATCATTATTTATTTGACAATAAAAGGACGATAAAGTCTTCAGATTATAAAACTTTTTTTTATGTGGCCACTCAACTTATTGTTCATTCATTAAACTGCTTTAAGACCACTATTAAGCTCCTCGCTTTGATGACTTTCAAGGAAGTTTTTTAACTGAAGGTATGACTTATTGGCTGTCCTTTGAACCAGTTTGCTTCCTCAATATTTCCTCCCCCCTCAGTGAACGACACTGAATCATACTGCCTTACACAACAATATGGAGACAATGAAAATGATGCTGTTTTTACCATGCTTTGACCTCTCCTGTGCATCTGTGTTTTCTCAAATTTTTGATAGGTGATATACTTTGCTGTGCTTTCATATGTCATTTTACCAACTATGGGCTTAAACTATGCATCAGTGTCTACATGGTCAGTGTCGCCTTCTTCAGAACTGCTGTAATGCCATGACTCGTCTTCTTCGCAGAAGATGAAGCTGGATACTAAAACCAGCCGCAGCTCTGCTTTTGACTCACTTTTTTCCAGCCTGGTTGTAGCGGCGGCTCACTGTGTGACCCAAAACTCTGTTTTTAAGTTTGACTTCTTTTGCTTTTTGTGCCTGACGATTGTTGTAAATGCTGCAATGTATTTATTTTTCTGTTGAGTGAAATCTCGAGTTATTAGATGTAAATAGTAGTGAATAAAGGGATAACACTGTTACCACACATTGATGAAACTAGATTAAAGTCAGAAATTCAAAGATATTTTAGAGCTTCATTTTTACCTGCCTTGCCCTCCATAATTTATGGTACAATCTATAAATTATGTGAAATAATCTAATAATTATTTTTAGAAAAATCCAACTATTAATTTGATACATTTATTCACTGGGGTTAATAAATACTGCATTAGGAAACAATTTATAATCCTAATGTATAAAACAAAAAAGTAGCTGGAGTGGAGCATTACTTCAAATTTATACTGTTTTTTTTTTTTAAAGGGCCATCGCTTTTTGTCCCTAAGGTATAAATGTGATGTTTCATAATACCCATTTTCTGTCACTCTTCTGAATGGATCAATAATATCCGTAATAATAATAACAATAATGGTAAAGGGCAACAGGCTATTTAAGTCAATACAATTCTGAAATGAACTTGCTCCACATTGACAGCATATGCAGCAAAAAGTATCTCCACCACAAGGTTTAAGGGTTTTTTTTTTTTTTACCATCGTTGAATTACATGTTTTTACACTTTCAATGATTTGATCAAAAGTTAATCCTTGGCCTCATGAAAGAAAAAAAAAATTTGCACCAAGAAACCATTTTTAAGTAACTCGTCAGTTTTGTAACTTATTCTGTGACTCATTTCCTTCAGGAGAAGCAGAATGACTCGTTTTGAATAATGTAACAACCGGGTCTTTTATTTTGAAGTTTTGAGTCACTCAGCCAATCAGATGTCAGAGGTCGATGACAGGAAGTCCTACTGTGAGACGTCACATTGCTCGTCGCACCGTGGAGAGGATCGAAGGCGCTTATCGATAGGTAATTGCTTATTTTTTTGCTCCACCAATTGTAGAAATGAAACAGCTGGACATGTCTGAAGGTGGGGATGTGAAGCTTGCTTCGTGACGCTGAAGCTAGAAGTTAAAAACAGGGCGTTGCTGGTGATGATGATGATGTAACCTTTTGTTTTTGTGCTCTTTCGCTCTTCAGCTGTTTGCCGGAGTTTGAGGATTTTTTTATCTCTCATTTGAGGAGCAGCTGTCGGTCAGTCATGCTGAGAGCTCTGGGACAAGCACTTTTCTCCACCGGACTGAAGAGTCCGAAATTCACAGTAGAGGAGCCGAAGGTAAATTATTCTCATTTTGGCTCATAAAACCAGAACTTCAGACCTTTAAGTGCTCTGTCCTCCCGCCTGTCATGGGACCGCTCTTCTGGGTGATGCAGATGAACTCTGCACAGTTTGCACGATTCAACAAATGTTCTTATTATCTCCTGACACATTCACTGACTGAACCTCTCAGATAAAAACGAGAACCGTTTCTTTTTCTCCATATAACAGTAAACATGCGACATTTTTGCAGTTTGGGGATTTTTTTAATACCTCGTTGAGATCTTAATAATTTTACATAGAATTGTTTTTAGTTGGCTAAAAATTAAAATGAAATGCGATTGGCGCTATTAACCAAGCAACACAATGAGTTTTTGTACTATTGCAAACATTGTTCTACAAAAGTAAATTAATTAGTTTCAAAAAATTGGTTTTGTTGGAAAAAGGGATTTGATGACAAAATTGAGTCAATATACTATATTTACTATTATATGCAACTTTTATATGCTTAATGTCTGCTTTGTAAACATGGACAATATAGTCACTCTATCCAGTGTTTACATAGAGGGAATAATAAAAGTGTACACAGCTGTTATGAAATTGCAGTTTTTAGAGATTTCAAATCATCAAAAGCACATTACTGCCAAAATGACCAAATCTGTTACAACAAAAATAATTCAGAGCAAGAAAAAAACATTTAGTTACACTAATGAATGGTTGAAGCACCTTCCTATTTAAATACAACTTTCAGTGTTCTTGAGTTCAGCCTCTCATGAATTCTGCTAAATCTGATTAAGCTGCATATAAAGATAAAGTCTCAGCATTTCCAGACATTTACTCATGTCTGTCCTTTTGCTAAAGCCATCTTTCAGATGGAGTTAACAAAGAGTTAAAAAGGATATCATTGTTCAAAGGTCACAGTCAGGAGATGTAAAATAATTCCCCTCATGTTTCCACAGCATTTATGAAATGCTGCAAATAGGCCAATAGTCGCAGATTTATTTGCATTTGACATCAGCCTCCTGTGTTATCCATACGTTTGGGATAAGAAAAGAAACTGCATAGCCCAGAAGTGAAAACACCACCAGCCTAACTCTTAATGATTATGGGTCTTTGTTTAACAGGGTCAGGACTACGAGACCCGCACTTACCATTCCACCAGGTGGATGAGCACCACTGTGAGTGGGATGCAGGGCGATGAATGTACGAGCACCGGCTTCCGCAGGCTCTTCCGCTACATTCAGGGCAACAACAAAAGCAGTGAGTCTGTGTGAAACTTTGACACATCGGGGGGAATAAGCCACCATGTTTTATTGCAGCTTTGTGCATCCAGTGTTGAGAGTTGTGTTTTTTTTACTTATGCAAAGCACTTAACTTTACAGAATATTAGACACTTAATTAGAAAGAACCAGTCAAGTGAAGAAATGTGCAGATAAACTGCTGCTCAATACAAAGAAGTTGATGAATAAATGCAAGAGAAAGGGCACTTTAGTTTCTGCTCAGCAGTTTGCCGCGGCAGTGCTGCTTTTGTGTGAGTCAGCAGTTTGCAGTGGCATTATTGATGATGTTATATGTTGTTTGTGTTGTTCTACACAAAGTCGGAATTAGAAGGAGAGTTCTACCTGTAAACACGGGGTTTAATCTTTTCAATCCACCATTTGGTCAGGGATCATTTTGCACCAAAGTTTTGATTCAAGCAACCTCCCCCAACGAAAGCTCGTCACGACTGTTGCGTTCTTTTTCAACCCTCTCCAGAGGCCAGCGTGGAGATGACTGCACCAGTCACGTGCCGTGTGGTCCCTGGAGCCGGCCCCGCCTGCGAATCTCAGTTCACCGTGTCCTTCTACATCCCAGATGAGCTTCAGGAAAACCCACCTGAGCCCACCGACCCTGATGTGTTCTTGGAGGACCGGAAAGAGTTCACTGCATACGTCAGGTAACGGGCACCTTCAAGAAACCAAACAATGCAGAGGGGATAGCATTGGCAAATAGAATGGTGGCCATGCAGTGTCAGTCGTTGATTAGTACAACTGACCTAATTGAATTAATGGCTTATCTGGTTCTGGTATTTTGTTGAAGACGCTACAATAATTCTAAAGAGAAAAACTTGAACTGAGGGAGGAATAAAAAAGGTGGAAGAAAATGTCAAATTATGAAGAGAAGAACATTTTAATAATAATGAACTAGAAACACATGGAGGTCTGAAATATGTCAGTTTAACCAATTGTTATGCACATCAAACCTCCAGTCAAATTGGTGTTTCTTACCTTTGTAACTCAAACCAGGTTGATGTTAAAAGCACATTACTGCCATCTGGTGGACAGAGTTATGCACAATTCCAGCTAATTTGCATGTGAAATAGCTTCATTTAGATCTGTTGTACCTGCCAAATATTAAATCACCTCTTTGGTTAAAAAAAAAAACAAAAAACAAAAAAAGTTCAAGTAATTTGCATATTTATTTTTATTTTAGATATAGTCGTGCAAATATAAAGGGCTTAAATTCTAATTCATGATGCCATTTCCAGGACTTATGGTGGTTTTTCCAACGACAACATGAAGCGGGAAGAGCTGCTGAAGCTTTTGGAGAGCCTGAAGAGGGACGGCGTCGAATTTGTCGACAAGCCGTACTACACGGTCGGGTACGACAGCCCCTTCAAACTGACCAACCGCAGGAACGAGGTGTGGGTCCTGAAGAAAGCAGAGCAGTAGTAAAGTTGCACCTAATCACAGCTTAACAAATGCTCAGACTAATGTTTGAAAAGGATGAATCGGTCTTTTACCGTTCAGAAGCATTTACTAATGTTGATGACAAGACCAAATACTTGGAAGATGCATCTGTTTTTGGTATTACATGTCCAGCAGGTGGCGCTAACTGGATTAAAAAGTGCCTTGGTTTTTAAAACATTTTTTTAAAGCACATAATTTTTGTTTTTGATTGTGAATATTCTTTTATTGGTTTAAAATGAGATTTTCTTAACAAACAGAACAATTTGGTAACATGTAATGAACATGAAAGGAACGAGTGTGAAAGCCAAGTGGTTTTATAAAGCATCTGCTGCTATTGCTCCATCTGTGAGTAAACAGACCAAAAATCTTGTCCCGTCTCTCATTAGAATATTCCACAATACTTGCAAATGATTTCAAACGTTCCCCATTTTTGCTACACGACAGCAAATTATTATTATTATTATTATTGTTATTATTATATCCCCCCAAAAATGGCAGCATTTCTGTCCAGCACCAAGAGTCAATATTTTGTAAAAACCTTCTTTCACTGCAGTCGCAAGTCTTTTATGATATTTACTTCCCAGTTTTGCCACCTTTAGCTGGAGTCAGATGTAGAAACTGGCTAATTGTAACAGAGGAATGAGCTCTGACTGTTTAGCTGTGAACCTCCACCTCAATTTGAAGTCCACCCCTCCCAAGATATTTAACTCTACCTTCCTATCAAAGCACTTTGCATATAGGCCAAAAGCTTCATGCTGTTTTCACCTGGACAGAACCCCCACTTCCACATGATTGGTATGTAAGCTGCTTGTTCAAACAGAAAATAGGACGTCTTTTCTTTCAACACATAAAGGCCAGATTCACTCAGAGAATGCAGATTCTCCCACCTGAGTTGTGAATCTCTTCAGTTCCCCCAGACCTACCAAGGTTCCCTTTTCTTTCCGCTTGGTCTGTTATCCAAAATCTTGATAAATGTCGATCATTATTCGCATTGGCTCATATTTTTATGCTTTCACGTTGTACTTGAAAGGGACAACTTTAGCACTTTGCAGCAGATCATTTGGCTCTGCGAGGCGTTTGTCAGTTTGAGAAATCCCAGCTTATCTGGTCTCAGACCTCACCCGCAGCCTCTCCCATCAGATCCATTATGATTAATGACTGAGTCACTATTTCTGGACATGGCACACCACTGGAGACTCATCATTTGTCACTTTTCTCTGGAGCTAGAAACGGATGAAGGCTTGTAAAGCTAGCAGATGGTGCTGTGTGGCTCAGACCTGCAACACTTTTAGATATCTAGTGGGTTGCAGATATTTACAGGAAGGCAGTCATAAGTACTAACATGAGTTTTCTATATGAATAATTGTGTGATACAATGTTCTTGATTGCTTCTAAAATAATGTTGAATGTAAAGCGTTTTCATCAGTAATAAAGAAAACTAATCAATTTTTTTTATTTTTATGTTATTTACTGCCACAATTCATTTGGTGACATTTAATTTGTGATGTAAAAACATTCTAATTGCCCTCCACACTCCGACGATCGTGACCTTTTATCGGCCGGATCAAATCTTCGCCGCTGTTCGCGTTGCCCTCGTCTTTCTAAGCTTCATCTCTGCTGAATCACTCGTTTTATTTATGGCTGGATTGTTCCCAATATCATGTTCAGACATTCTGCAGAATTAGTTTTTTGTTTTTCCCCTTTAGAACACAAACGCGCCGTCTCAGTTTAATGTAATTTAAGGTGCTCACTGAAGTGTAGCATTAATGCTGGAAACAAATACACAGGGATGTTTCCTGTTTTAATCTGAACGCCAGAGTCGGGCATTTTAGCTGAGACTTTGGCATTTCACCTGCATTCAGTGGACCAAACATCTGACCAAACAGATGGACAAATGGCTGACATATAATGGCTGGATGAACAGACAAAAGGAGGGAAGAACAAATGGATGAAAGGATATAAAAATGTAAACTACAGGATTAGGAGTGAAGTTTTAAAAATGTAACTATCTTGAAAGATCAACCATGGTAATATTTATTTTTCCATCCTTATTCTGACCCGTAGAATACCTCAAATTTAATAGTTTCCCAGACTGAAGAAGTCCTGGCTACGTACTTTATGTATAAATGCAAATGTTGGGTAATCCATTCGTCAATTACATGACGTGCAACACATTTTTCTTATGTTATGCTCAGTGTTTGTTTTGATTCATCATCTAAATGTTTACACAAATGAATTTGTATGCATTAAAACTTGATAAATCTCCAGGTCAGACCGTATCATGTGTCAGTACCTCACAGTGAACGATTCCTCTTTTAAGGAACAAAAAATAGCAAGGAAAACAGGACATCAAACTTCCCTAAAAGCCTTTCAAGATTTTAATGTGTTTAATGCATACATTTTTTTAAATCCACTAGCATCATCTGGAGAAAAAGAAAAAAAGGCAAGTGATCAACAATTTCAACTCTGGGGAGCCAGAGCAGCATGTTGACCAGGTTGCAGTATGTCGTATGGCTGGAAATATTCCAGATTACTCTGCTGATCTCTTTTTTTAGTCACACCCTGTGAAGACGCTGCGCAGATGCACGTGCTAACAGAAGGACAGCAGGAAGCGTCTGGAGTGTGATCATAGCCGGGAGGGGAGGGTATTGATTCCCTTCTGATGGCCAGATGGAGGCAGCTTGCGGAGAACAAATGACTGCTGAATCACACAAAACTGTGTTTCCGTTGCTCTGAGAATATCTTCCAGAGAGCATTTTGTCTTATTTTTTTATTGAACTTGTGGAGTCAGAACAGCTCACTGTTGCTCAGATCCCTAACGAGGATGTCCAGGAGATGTAACTGATGACCCCATAGTAGGGGAAGAAGAGGAGGGGGTTGAGTTTTCCAGATGACCGAGGAGCATGGCATGACCACGGCGCTAATGAGGATATGATTTGGTGCGTCAGGCAGCCAGATGGCCCTGCATCACACACAGAGAGAACTGACATATTTAAATATCACCTTGTTTTTTTTAGTACAGACGTATAAATGGAGCCTGGCACTTCACTCCCACCCCTATCTGCCAACCAGCCTCCAACAAAGCTGCAGAACTGAGATGTTTCCAAGCACGAGACAAGTGCTCGGTCATCGCCACACAGAGACTCAGAGAGACACACAGACTGGTACGGCTGGTACATCACACACCTGTCAGTTCGCTTCATAAATCTGAAGGGAGCATTTTTACCCAGCTGTGAGCCCCAGAAAAAGATTTACACAAGTCAGGAATGAGGACAGGAGCAGTAGGAGGAATATTAACAGAAATGTGTGTATTAAACTACAAGCCTATGCTCATGGCTCCTAAACAGCCCGGAAATCTATGGAGGTCTAGAGTTTTACCCAAATTGTTTTCTCAACCCAGTTGTCTTAAGTTTTGTATACATTCATCATCTGTTGGTTCATCAAGCCATTGTAAACCAGGACCATCCATATATCAGTCAATCTATACATCATCCAAACATTCATCAGTGAGCCATCATCCATCCATCCATCCGTCCGTCCGTCCGTCCGTCCGCCGTCCGTCCAACATTTGACCATCCATGTCACATGTTTCATTCCTGAGTACAGAAGATTATTGCCAAAGTAATTCTTTGTATTTATACAGCAATATAAATATAAACAAGTATAGAGTACTGAAATTTGACATGAGGACTATGAAGTAACTAACCCTCCTTATAAGGAATAAGGAACAAACTCCCAACGCCCTGCAATGAGGAATAAACGATGTAAAAGTAAACACAGAGCTCGAAAATTTTAGTTTATAAAGCAATTAGTCAGACTTAGTCAGACATCATAAAATAAATCATTTAAGCTCTACAAACATCAAACAGATTTGTTGCCAGACAAAAACACACTCAGATTGAGTTCAGATTAACAGCCAGTTCTGTTTAATAATAAACTCTTTGGTTACCCACATGAAAACTAAAAGAGCTGGACAATAAAATAAGATCTTTTAATATACATTTACAGGTTTATATTTAACTCCCAAACACAACTCATGACTAAAAAGAGCTTTAAAACATAATTCAAACAGAAACAGATCTATGCACAGTGCAAAGTCTACCAACTAAAAGTCAAGATTTTTTTCATCCAGTCTAGGTATCGTCCTCACTGATCCGTCCATCTCTAGGCGGCAGCACTGAGCCCCTCTGCACGTCTGTGGACCACTGAACACATTAACGGCTGAGCTGTGAGCAGAAAGTAAAAAGCTGGTGTTTCTACAGTTGAAGGTGTACCGTCAGGCTTTCTGTCTGCTGTACCTGGTCCTCCATTCAGTTTGACTTTGTAAACGGTGCTGCTTTCAGTCACTTTCTAAAGCCAGTCAGCAAAACACAGAAACTGAGTTTTTACAAGCTGAGCAAAAACCACATCTTTACTTTCCAGTCTCTTCAAAAACCACAGCTGCAAAGTTAAATGTTTACAACTTTGATTCCTTCAAGTCACCTTAGCTTGACCTCAAATGCTTGTTCTTTAATTAAACTAGAGGGATGATTAAAACGTTTAAATAAAAGACACCAGATGTTTAAGAACAACTTCTTTTAACAGGAGGTGAATCACTAGATTGAATGAAATCATAGGAGCAGAGCCATTTTTCCACTTCAGACAGGTTTGCGTGGTTCATGATCAGATGACCACCGGCATCAAATCCCTCCTGCAGAGGCAGCACAAAGCGGGCTGGAGCTCGAGGAGGCCCCTCTTCGGACCCCCTTCTAGGTTATGTTCCACATGAGCTCAGCTCATCAAGTGCCTTTGCCATCAAGTGTCTGTGAGCACGGGGAGAGTCCGGACCGCTGAGCTGGACACATCTTCAGCAGTTTCTCCATTCTCGCTCTCAGCCAGCTCTCCTTCCCGCTCGCAGATCACGGTCATGGGGCTGCTGAGGATTCTGTTCCGGGCGTTATATTTACTGCTGGCGGCAGACGGCGGCGTGCGAGAGCGTCCGTACTTTGGGATGCCCATCGAGTAGGGCGAGGACGTTGGCGACGACAGACCCTCGTAGCGGCTCCACTCCACTTCGGATGCCCTCTTACCTCTGCTGGGAGAGTTGGAAGGGCTGCCTGGGGTCATGGGCGAGGTGGGCGAACTCAGACCGGGGTCTAGCGCGCCATCCGAGCGTGTTCGCTGGAAGCGAGGGTCAGTGGAGCGAAGCATCTCGGCGGCAGACATCCTGAAACTGGTCTCGGAGCGGCTTCCCTTCTTGAGGAGGAGGGCCTTGAAGGAATCGCTGCTGGTGGAGGTCTTGCGGAGGTTGCGCTGGATAGAGCCCGCCTGGCGGGGCAGTGAAGACACCGACCCCGGAGACGGGCTGGTGGGGGTCGATGGTGGAGACTGGGGCTGGCTCCCAGTTCGGGATTTGTTTTCTTCAGACTCCCTACGTCCCAGAACCTTCCGCTTGGACCTGCGGACACAAAGACGGCTTGAACAGTGAGTTCAAGGGTTAAATTAACAATAAATACAATAATCCAAGTACATGGACTTTTTATTTGTAGAAACAAATAAGAAGTGGGGGGATTTAAGGGATCACAAAATTTCTCTCATTCAGGTTCTTCTGACAGGGCTGTTGGCTACACTGCATAAACCAGCCGCTACAACAAATTTTGCTGGACAACAAATATTGTTTTGAGACCATTTTCAAGAAAAGTATTGATAGTGGCATAATAATCAAGTTTGCCCTCTCAAACACTAACAAATGTCCTTTTTGTACAATCGAATTAGTTTGCGCCTTTCGAGAAATAAAATGGAAATAATTACATGTAAAACAATGCAGAAACTCTGTAAAGCATTGTTTGTACTTTCTCACGTCTGCTATATTTTTATCTGCAATTTGAAGCTCTGCTCTGTTCTGCAGAAGGAAAACTACAGCCGGTTTATTGCACCTTTGAGATGGCAGAACCTTGGTACTTTCAAGGAGTCTTTCTGAGTTATTGTTTTGTTCTTCCATTTTATTAATAAAATTTTAATTGACACATATTTGCTGCTTCGTCAAAAGATTAAGTCAATATAAATTAGAATAAGTCAAAGTGAATATGTTTATTTTAATTTAATCAATTTGAGATTAAATAACCTAGAAACTGATAGAATTCAACTAATTTTGATGAGTAGAAATATTTTTAAAAAACTGGTTTAAGCGCTTTACACAATTCTTACTTAGGAATAGTAATTAATACCCAAAGCAGTTTTATTGGTTTGTTTTACCAGGTTAGCAACGCAAAACAAGAGTAAGTTGTTCTGCTGTTTTAGAGTAGATGTTTTATTTAAAAGTCTGATTCCAAGAGTCTGATTCATTCTGGGCTATGCCTACTAGCGCCTCTGTGAGAATGTAATTAAATGCATTGAAAATGCAGAGTGGGAACCTGATGCTCAAGGTAACGATACGTGAAGGACATATGTAGAATCTGTAATCCTCTAGTCTTCACAAAAAAATCCTTCGTTTAGGAACAGGAGAAAAAAATAAATGAAGCTCTCGCTGAAGGTCATAAAGGGGAGGCCTGAAAACACGATCGATTATTGGAGAATCTCACTTCAAAATGCATTTTTGGCCTGAATTCGATCTCATCCCTGCAGCCTCCCTCTGCAAGTTGCTGTTGTCACTTGAGCATTGCATAAGATAGGGAACTTGAATTCAGTGGACCGTGATAACGGCACACTGAACAGCATCAACAGTTCTAGAGGCAAACACATGTGCAATATGAGACCGAGCTCCGAGCACACCATCGATCTCTTCCTCCTGGCCGGTTTGGAGTGTTTTATTTCAGATAAGTTTTCTGCTTGGGCTCAGTAGTCTTTTCGCACAGGATGTTCATCAGTAACTTAAAAAAAACAACAACACAGAAACCAGATGTGAAAGCTAAAAATAACTTGGTGTCTCCCACCCTCAATTGCTTGGTCAGAGTTTAAACTCGGCTAATTTTTCCTTTACTGTCTCCAATCAGCGACTACATTGAAAAATTGGGATTTATTCTTTTTCCTTTGATGATCAAAGGCATCAAAATAAAATATTTTATGGGTTTAATAAAAATCAGGGTAAGGATCCCAGGGTACTAGGGTTAGGGTAAGGGTTAGTCAGTGACTGAAAAACAGTCACTGAATGTATGTTGCCCCAAAATGTCCAATTTGGTTTATATTTCTGCCCATCTCCAATTGTGATCATTAACAGGTGTTAAAAAAATCTCTAAATGTCTAGCACTTCCAGAAATCCTAATGTAAAATTATTCTTTACACTCCATCCCCCCAGAGGTGTTGTGGAGGAGGAGTGTGCCAAACAAATACAAACAACTCGCCTGCGAGCTGCATGCAGTCTTCATCTTTAATTAGGCTGCACAACAACAACGCCACACTTGTACACGTGACGCACCGGGTGCCATAAATGCACCGAAAGCCCCTCTTCCAAGCTGAGATAAAATCCTGTGAAAATGAAACGCTGTGAAGCTCAGGGAGAAGTCCGACTGCCGCTGCCGTCGCACGTGATCGTGGAGCACAAACTGGCGGGCTGCATGGGATATTTATGCGGAGCAAGGCAGAGCAACGTATGCAGAATGTGTCACAGAGCAGAAACGTGGAGACTGAAGATGGGAAAGTCTCCAGTGGCCTCTAACCTAGATTAAGACTTGAGGGTGTTCAATAGTTAATAATAAATGAAGAAACTGTCGTTTTTTCCCTCCTCTCCTTTTGAGAATGAGCAATGATAATGTGACTAAACGAACACAGATGCCTTCATGAACATTTAATGACTCATTTTGGCTTCTGAAGCATCGCGTTTCGCCATTAAACTGTCCAGAAAAGGCTTTCTTCAGTGCTGGACAGTGCTGGACTGGTAAAGTTACGTCGGAGAGGTGAAGGGATTGAGGTGGAGCAAAACAAGTCCTGAACGGTGGTGGAGAGGAAGGAGCTTATCAGTTTGTGAGGACGAGACAATTGGATGTTGATAGAGGGTTCAGAAGCAGGAGCGATAAATAAGAGCCGGCTCAGGAGAACGAATTGCATTTCTGAAGTTGGACCCTGGGATTAGGGGAGTTGTGATGAGTTCCTACCTGTGAATCACAGCAAAGAGGTCCTCTGTGGTTCTGGGTCGGGCAGCAGTGGGAGTCGGGGTCACCATGTTCTTCTCAGACACCCCGTTCGCTGACGGGGCCGGAGAGGATTCAGCCGTGCTGGGTTCAAAAACCTCACCTGAGGGGAAAAAAAGGCAACTTATTTACACCTTCACACAAAAAAAACGAGACAAAAATCCCCCCCATGTCTCCATCTTGTCGCTTTAACCTGGCGATATCCAAAGAGGTGGAATCCCTGACTGTCCTCTTACATTCTCCTCCACTCCATATGTTGCCTTCCCATCCTTCCCTCGCTCAGGTCTGAGCATCAACTGCCTGCAGTCACAGTTTACACTCGCCCCGTCCTCCCCTTCATCCTCTCTACAGGATCAGTTCCCCTCCCTTCACTCCACCATGTAGCCCTCCCCCCGCCGATCTCCCTCCAACCACAAAACAGCGTCTCCCCTGGGACACGTGCCCCCATCCTTACCTCATACGAAGAGAGGGAGAGAGAGGGGAGGAGGGGTGGAGCGGGCCAGAAAGAACTGATTTGGGAGACGGAGTATGGAAGAATAGCCCCCCCCCCGAAAAAACAGAAAGAGAAAATGGATATTTGGACTGAGAGTGGTTTTTAATTCCCTTTTGCAGATTCAAATATCAAGTTCTCAGTTTATTTTTAGCCGATTCTTAAAGTTTTAAATAAAAAGGAGTTGAAGACAGACAGAAGGCTCAATAAGAGCAGGATGGATGGAGAGGAGGATGGATGTTTTAATACATGGCCTGGCAAATGAGTTAAAGATTAGATAGTTGGATGGAAGGAAAGCTGAAAGCAACTTTTAGATAATGAGTTTGGAAATAAACGTCTGGAAACAATTATATTTCCAGCTCTTTTTTTTTTCACACTTTAGATTTTCACTTTTTTTTCACACTTCAGATCTGAAAGGAAAATCCATGCTTTTCCAGCCTTTGTTGAAACTTTCCAGAGCGAGTGTGGTGGGATGGGTGGAAAAAAGGAAGTGTGTGTAAAGGAGAAAGTCTGATTTTATGCAGCAGCACTGCTGGCCCAGTGATAAGCCACAACGTTCCCTTTTCATAACCAGAAAAAAAATAATAATTTCAACTCAAACAGCTCAACTTCTAACCATAGAAGATTATCAAATAAAGCTTGAGTGTTGAAGTTTCTGGCATTAGGGTCTATCTTGTTAAAAATGAATACAAAATTGAATTCAGACCCACCCATATCATCATCCTTGGAGCTGATGGACCCAGTGGTGCTACTCCGTCCATCTTCTTCCTCTTCCTCTTCTTCTTCATGAGCCTCTCCGTTTGCAAGTTCATGATCAACACTTCTGTCTTCACTTGAACAGCAGGAGTCATCCTGGTCTGGTGATGTCTCACCTCTGCCTGACAGCTCAAAGCTATCTTGAGTATCCTCCTCTTCCTGTTCCTCACTCTGCTCTACCACCTCCTCATCTATCTGCCTGTGTGGTGCATCCACTTGGTCATCTGCTTGGGTTAGAGGAGTTGCATCCTGAAGCTGTGGCTGGACATGTTCGCCTATACTAAACGGTAATACCAGAGAAACTTTGGGTTTCTTGGCGACGGCTGGGGGCTTTTGTTTGATGGGGGAGCTACGTTCCTTGTTTTCTTCACCGTTTAGCATACGGTAACTCTGTTCTTCAGTTTCCCCATTGATGGGAGCGCCATCTGGTGTTTCATCTGTGAAACTGCAGTCCAGTGATAGCTCTTCCAGAAGCTGCGACACAGGTGATGGCGGGCTCTTGAGCAAATCTTGTTCTGATGAGCCAGTCAACGAGCTCAGTACAGTGGGATTCCCTTGAGAGTAAGACAACTCCTGGTCCTGATGTTTCGGACCCAAAATGGTTTCTAGACTTGTTTTGATGTTGTCTGATTTACTGTTGATTTCATTTTCTGGTTGTCTAACTGAGCGGAGCTGAACACTCTGCAGCGCAAATGGGGTGATCAAGGGCTTGGATGACTTTGAGGGGTTATTGGAAAGATCTACCTTAGGAGGATCTTTTGCTGTCTTCTTAGGAAGAGAGGTACACACTGAAGCAAAAGTAGGAAGTGGAGGAGGTGGAGGGGGCCCTATGGCAGGGAGAGGTGGGGGAGGGGGTGGACTGAGGCTCCCATTGAAAGATGAGCTGGTATGGATTAGCATGTCTGGGGATGGTGGAGGAGGAAATTCAGGGGAAGTGGAGTGAGCAGGGAAAGAAGTATCCTGCGGAGGTGGAGGAGTAGAACTTGGAGGGGGAGGGAAGGGTGGAGGTGCATTGAGAGGGGTGGTGGGAGCTGAGGAGGAGAACAGTAGTGGTGGAGGTGGTGGAGGGGGACCAGAGCACTTCAGACTGTCTGAGGTGTTGGAGGACAGCGAAGTAGAGGAGGATGAGACAGAAACCGAGGAGAGGAGAGACGACTTTCTCTCCGGGACTTTCGGTCTAGGTTTTCCACCTGACGGAGACATGGACCTGACAAATGCAGGTACCGGCGTTCCAGCTGTGGGGGTGTTGGACTGACTGGAATAGCCGCTGGATGGGGAGGTGAGTCTGTGCACCCGGTCCGGTGAGGAGTTGGAGGGTTTGCTTTTTGCAGACACCTCTACTTCCTGAGATGGAGCCCCCTGGGTCTGACCTGCTTTCTGAAACTTTCCTGGATGACCCCCAGTTGTGACCCTGTCTGCAGCATGGCCAGGAGGTGTCTGGACCCTCTGGTCAATTTGGCCACGAGGGTAGTCTGAGTAGTATCCCCAGGACTCTGCATAATCAGAACGCAAGCTGCTGGTGTCACTGGGGGTGGGTGTGACATGGCAGAGTGAGTACACGCTTGGCATGCCAACACCATTGGCGCTAGCTGCTAGCGAGGCTGCAGAGCTACCTGCACTGATGCTGCTCTGACTGCGTGACCGCATCACCCAGGGGTCATCATAGTCACTGCTTGGACTGTGCGATGGTGAGGAGGGTGAAGCACCATTTCCCTTTCCTTCTCTCAGTCCCATCTGCAAGCTTTGTTGCAAGCTAGCAATCAAAGTCTCACTGAGCATACTGCCATTCGGCATATTAGCACCGCTAATGGCGGCAACGCCTCCTAAGGGCTTCTTTGCTACAGGCTTGCGTCTCAGAGAGTCTGTGCGAGTCGGTGGAGGCGGGGGTTTCCTGGACTTGCGGAGGGAGATGCTGCGGGAGAGGGAGCGGTCACTGTAGAGGCTTCCAGAGTCTTCCTCACCGACCATCTCGCGACACTCATACATGCTGTGTCTGGAGGCTCGTCCAGCTGTGGCGCCATGCCCGCTACCGTGACTTCGGGAGCGTAGACCCGAATCCAGGTGCATAGAGGTGTAGTACCCATCATTATCCTGAGAGTAGAGTGAACTTGAGTCAGTGGTGGTCCTGGAGGAGTGTTCCAAGCTGCTGTAGAGCTGATTGATTGGAGTTGAGCAGCTGGAGGTCAGGGTGCGGTGTGGGGTCATCACATTTTCAGGCGTGTCATAGATCCAATTATTTTCTGGTAGGCAGGATGGTGGAGTGGGGGCCAGGGTGCTGCGGCTGTGCATACTGCTGTCTGAGTGACCCGACTCACTAGTTGGCCTGGCAGGTGTGAGACAAATGTCCTGAGGTGTGTGCATGGGGGTGGAAGTGGTCAAGGATGGACTGTGGATGAAAGCAGTTGGACTGGACATCAAATGGTCGGTGTTGGTAGAGGAAGCCCGGCTGAGTGCTCGAGACATGGGGTAAGCTGAAACTGACTGACTGGAGGTCTTGAGGCTAATCACTTCAGTCGAGCTAGAGAGTGTGGCATTGGGGATGTAGGAAGTGGAATAAGCAGCATGAGGGGAGACGACGCACGCTGTGCTGCCACCCCACTCAGCAGGGTGTGTCCCTCTCACTTCTTGAGACTTGGGTCTAGGTAAAGAGTTCATCCTCGGAGTATTCCTCATGTGCACCACCGTGTCGTCAACCTGAAGCTTCCCAATCTGCCTCTGAGGCTGGTCCTCTGGCTTTCTGGGCGTGCTGCTATAGATAGGATCAGCACTGAGAGACACCCTGGCACCTTGTCGAGGGAGGCTGTGAAAACGGGAGGGGTCTCCGTTAAATAGATGGGGCATCATTACGACCCCCGAGCTGTCGCTGCTGGAGATGGAGATGCTTCCCGTGGAAGAGGAAGCAGATATACCGGCCATCTGAGCGGCAATCCCCTGTCCTCTCTGCGCCCGGATTCTCCTCATAGACGGGGGGACGACCTTCACTTCCTCCGTCTGGCAGCTCGAGTCTCTGGTTGCTGAATGTCGGAGAGTTGAGTTGACGCTCCCCACTCGGCCCAGAGTGGAGTACTGTCCTGGGATGAACATGGACTGTGGCCGAAGTTCTCCGCCTCGCCCTTTAGCTGCTGTGGAGGGGAAAAAGGAAACATGTGACAGTGAAATATCTTTTCTCTGGTTCAACAGAGCCTTCTTCTCATCGGACCGGACTTTAAGATGAACTAGTCACGAAGAGAGATTACTAATTCGATTTAGCATAACCTTGTCGCATGCGTTAATAGAATCTGGTCTTTGTCATTAACGAGGAAATGATGATGGGAGACACTCTCCACTACACTTCCTCTCTGAATCTTATTGTAGCTCAGCCTAATAGATTACTGACCACTTCACCCGCATTAACATTTACACAAAAGACACATAAGCGTGCATGTGCATTGCAAACATGCTCATTCAAGATCAGAAACCCAAGAAACATGCACCGAAAGAAGATACAAAGAATATGCATACTAACCATACTGGCTTGTGCACAGTCTGAGGAAGGAGTGAATGTACAGAGAGAGGATGTCTAATCTCATTTATGATGGTTGTCCTGTTGATGTTTGTGTTCGTGCACTCACTCCTGCATGCATTCCTTTCTCCCTCCTCCTTCTGTCTCCACACCACGCATACACCCTCTCCCTTCCTCTGCTAAAAGCTGGACTGACAGCTTGGCTGCTGCTTCTGCTGCAATAGATAGATTAAGCTACATCTCTACTTTGCAGGCAGCTCCAGTGCTAAAGGAGGGAGGGGACAAAGCAGCGGGACAATTTCCCTGGAGCGAGCTCTGCAGACACTCAAGACGCTGTAGTCAAAGGGGGCACTAACCAGACTTTAAAGCTCCATTCCGATCTATCATGATTGATCTCAGTGACCAAAGAAAGAAAAGGCACATGAAATGCTGCAACCATGTGACAACTGAGAAAAATGTAAACATTAGTCATGCTGCACTGTCAGAGGACTGTGTCAGCTTAAAGAGCTTAGTGTTGCTTAACACCCAGAAGAGTAACTAAGGTTAGAGAAACACATATCCTTTTTATAGGAATGGTTCAGATCTAGGAGTCATTTATTCTGAACCACAATTTCCAGAAACAAAACACCTAAATGTCATTAGACTAAAAGAAAAAAAAAGTAAAAGAAAAAAAAAACTATGAAAACAAAATTATAACCACAAAAAGACTTGAAGCCTCTACAACTGGCTGCTGGCTGCAGGATGAGTTTTACTGGGTGGAGGAGAGCAGAACTCCAACAATGAAATATGAGCAGCTGCAAGGCTTTGTCAATTATCAGTAACTTAAAATTTATACACATTGAACTTATTCACATTTTGTCATTACACCCATGAATCTAAATGAAATATAATGGGATTTTATGTGACAGACCAACATAAACTCGTGACCAATGTTGAAGGGGAAAGAAATTCCAAAACATTTTTTTTGGATAAAATGTTTTACAAGATAAAATCTGAAAAGTGTGATCCACATTTGCTTCAACTCCCTTCTAAATAAAAGGTTTAAACCCAAATGCGAAATGCTTTCTGTGGCAGAAAAATCAAGCACACCAATATTGTTTTCTTTTCATAAATTAAGCTACTACTTTATGTCTGTCCTTATAGTTTCAGACTTAAATTTATAAATAAATTTATATGAAATATATTAAAAATGTTGGTTGTAACATAACATTTTAAATAATTCAAGGGGTAGGAAGACTATTGCAAGACATACTGTTTCTCTTTGTATAAAAAAAGAAAAGATACGCCACCAGGCATAGATTAAAAAAAAGAGAGAGAGAGAGAGAGAGAGAGAGAGAGAGAGAGAGAGAGAGAGAGAGAGAGAGAAAGCTTTCAATGGTTGTGACAGAGTGCAGGATGCTCATGCAGAGTTAGCGCAGAGGGCTCCGCAGAGATCCGTACCTAGCTCCTGGTTGATGTTGTCAGGCAGCCCTGATATAGTCTTTCTGCGTTTGACCTTCTTGGGCCGGCGGGGCACGGTGTCAGTGTTAATGAGGGAGCGCCGGATGCTCGCCTGTCGGTCAAACACTGCCCCTGGAGGCCGGGAGGGCGAGAGCAAAGGCAGGCAAGACACACAGGCAAACAGCACTCGGTTAGTCAGAAGGAACAAACTCGACGACATGCAGAGGGTTTCAGGGATTTTAAAAAGCTCAACATGCAACATTAACAGGTCAGGAAGTGAGAGTAAATTCAAACATTAAAGTATTTGTTATGTTGTTTTATTCTTACTAACTTAAACATATTCTTAAAGGTTTAAAAAAACAGATTAATTTAATCTATTGAATGTATAACTGAGACTTAAATCTAACCAGAATTTCTGAACTGTCCCAGAATTTTGCAGAGAGGAAATATCCACAATAATGCCAATACATTAAATGCATTGTAATTACTAACTTAATCTACAACTGTTACACATTTACCAGCAATTTAGAATCACGCAGCAGCTTCAGATTATTTAAAAAATAAACGTTAAAAGCTGCAAAGAGTTCTTAAGGATGTTTGATGAAGAGAAATTATCCCAAAAATTGAAGTTTAATCTCTAAATTTGAGTGAATACAATTAAAAAATATTAGCATCACATAATAATTGTGAAGTTCTTTACAACAAAATGGTTTGGCATTTGGTTAATGTTTATTTCTTGAAATATGAGCAACTAAGGTAGATAAAGGTAAAAAAAAAAAAAACATGCACTTGGCAAATACAGCATGACATGAAGTGTGCACATTCACACATTCACTCTCTGTCCAGTTTCCCTTCTGGAAGACTGAAATGTCAGAGTAAACTCCCTTTTTCTGTGCTGTGTGGCTTGCTGGTGACAAGCTGCGGAGCATCAGGGAAGCAGGATTTGATAGGAGGCCAGATAGTGTCTCTCAGGCTTCTCCTCAAAGTGACAGTAAAGTCTCTGATCTCTCCACGAGTCTGCGTGTGCGCTTTGGAAGTTCACTCGGTGACCTGAAGTGACAGCAGCTGAAATCAATACTAAATGAGTGGAGTAAAACCAGATAAGGCTCTGATTAGTGTCTGCCAGAGCAGCTGTAGGTAAATAATGAATAGTGGAGGGATACAAATGATAAGAATGCTTCCATTTATGTTTTAAACATCGAATCTCGATAAATGAGATGTTCCTACTGGATAGCAGTGAAATACAAATGATACGCTAACAGGATCATGTCAACATGTTTTGCTGTGTGTCCATGTGTCAAAAACAATGGGGATCTGACAAAGTCAGCAAGAATCTTCGACCTCTGGATAAGCTGTCAACAGATTTTCACACACACTCACTCACTCACACATGCATAGAGGAAAGGTGAAGGTCAAACCCATTCAGATAGGATAGAAATCGGAGATGGAAAGTAAACCCCCATGACGGACAGTTTCATTTCTTTTCACGTAAGTAATGTGATACAGTTCCTGATTAGTTTCTATTCAGCTCAGAGAGTAAGAGAAAGAACCGGCGAGGCAACTCGTTTCCCTTCTGAGCTATAAGAAAACAATATAAACACACCTGTAATGTTGATGGGCACCACATCTGTGGGCACGGCCTGAGCCGCCTGCCTCATCTTCTCCTCCGGGGTCGGGAGGGGCGGAGCCTTGTTCCATACCACCTGCCCGTCAACTTCAGACGTCTCCCCCACCTCGCTCCCACCCTGCGGCGTCGGGGATCTCGCGGAGAGCTGAGATTTGTCATCCTCCGCTGACGAAGCCGTCGACTGGAGGAGGACAACAAAACGAAAGTTTAATGCGGCGGAAAATATAAAGCTGAAAAGAAACGGTGAGAAGCAGCAGGAACTAGTACGACAAAACACAGGAGGAAAAGAAATGTGACTGGAAATTAAAAAAAAAACCTGTCTTAAATCATCAACTGAAGGCTCTTCATGGATTGACCTATGAAGATGTTTTATGATCAGTCGTGTCCAAATGAAATCAGCCTGTTGACCAAGCAGCTGAAGATGGCGCAGTAAAAGCTGCAGGCCAGCAGCAAGGAGAGAGACAGAATCATTCAATCAGTCAACTGAGCTGGAACAATAAGAGCCCTCAATCGTAAAATCGCACAGGGGAACAGACAGCTATGTTAAATTGAGCCATTAGTCACCAGCAAACCAGTCATTTTAACGTCTTTGTGTTTTCATCTAGAGGAAAACACTTCCAAATAAACCTGGAGAGATCCCTTCACATTCACAGTGCCACACAAGCTCTGTTTGTTTGCACTGGATGTAGAGGGAGGATAAAATGGAACAAATAGGAAAGCTTTGTTTTTTATTTAACATCATGAACTGGAAGTTGAGTAAGTTATAAATCAAAATTCTTAGTGTGATGAGAAATGTTCCATGATAAATGACAAGCGATACGATAAATGCCCACCCCCAAGTGGAGGTGTGGTGCTATGCACTGACCGACTCCCATAACACACATGAAGAAGTGACTCTTTAGTTTAGTCAAAGCACACTCTTAGCGTAGGATTTAAGAGCATAGTAAGTCTATAACCTTACTGTGTTTTACAGACTAAAATAAAAGAATTTCTTTAAGAATTCCTTTTGCTTATTTAGTTGATCCAGAACTCTTTAAAAACAATTATTAGTTATTTGCATCGTGAATATTTATTGTTAATGGTGTAAAACGTTTGGGTGAACATGGTGTTTAATATTCATTGGGGCAAATTTATAAATCTTAAGCTTAGCTGCAGTTTGTGGAGTCCACACACCACTGACCAGAAAAGCTTTCTCAGCCAGAATGGAGCTGATCTCCGATTTGCTAAGCCTGGAGCGCTAAATGTGCTTTCACACTCTCTTCACTCCAGTTTGTGTGAAACTGTTTTTAGATTGCCTTTTTTTTTTCTTCTACCCACTAAAGAGGTATGATTAGTTTAACTCAGCCAATTCAGACAACCAACTCAGTGATTGGAGGACAGAAAGAAGAGCACAACTTCAATTTTTAGAGCTCGACAAAAACACATCCAGGCTGATTCTGAACGGTGAAGAAGAAGAAAAGCTGACCACAAGTAAAGCACTTTCTCAGTTTAATTGTGTTGGCAATCTGATTGACAGGCCAAAATGTTTAAGTTCATATCTCTTTTATGTTCTCCCTCTTAGAATAATGTTAGGCTTTAGTTAGGAAGCAGAATTAGAACTACTAGATCCTGATAATCATTTGACACCAGTTTTAAGCATTGCAGTTTTATTTCAAAATGTTATTATTAAGTTCACTTTCAGTAAATTTGGAATTTTGAGGATTATACAACATGCTTTACTGGAAAGGAAAACTATTTACTGTTCAGATAGATTTTAAATTATTAGAAGTTTGACTGATTTAAGAACTTTAATATAATTTAAAGTAGTTTTAGCTCTTCACTGGTTTAGATGTATCCAATTATCCCTTATATGCAACTCTAGGAAGTCTAAAAAAATATGATAACAGGAGCATAACAAAGGGTTATTATGTAAAAAAGTAACAGAACAAGGGAAAGGCAATCATAGGGGGGAAAAAAGCAGAACGGTACTTTGGTAACAAGAATGGATTGTTATCTGCATGTTCTCCAGGTTAAACATGAACCCAGTTTCCCTTTCCTAAACAGACTGTCCGGTTTAGTTAGGATCAGGACAACAAGTACTGACGGCAGGGAAAGGAGAGGGCAAACAGCAGAACGGACGACAAGCAGACAAAGAGGGCAAGAGTGGAGTGGAACTACGGCTGGGCCTGTTGGAAGTAGGTTAATGTGAAGAAATGAAAATGACAAGAAAAAGGGTGACAAGTTACAATAACAGTGTTATAAAGGTCAAAGGTCAGAGCATCCTTAAACTGCAGATTAGAATTAAGCTGGAACATAAAACCCAAGGAGATAAATACTGAACTCAGAAAATTTACTTTATACTGGTGACAAAGTACATGAGTGTTATAGTACCAATATATACATATCAGGAATCAAATTAAAGTTCTATATCCTGTCTTACTCATTTTTAAGTATAAATACAAAATTTCTCTATGAATTTATTTCAGATATTTCAATTTTAAAATAAAGTTTCAGTACGGAGGACTGATGGATGACTACGTAAATCTAAATTATAGGACAGGCAATAAAGCTTGAAAATATAAATATTTTATTACATTTTATTTCCTTCTTTCATGTATACCAAGAGCTACAACATGTGTTAGTCTTTTTCAGTCTATTTAGTCTATTTACCAGATATGTTCAATAATCACAAGTGTATTAAAGAAAACTTACTTTGTCTAGCTTCATAACGTTTGTTGCTCTTTTGTGTATTTTCTCAATTTCCTATTTACCGTAGTTTTTTTTTCCTAATTTTGTTGTCCATTACTGCAATAAAATCATTATGAACAAAATGCACACCACTCTAAGTGTGTGCAAGTATTAAGCGATCAACACTAAGACTGAGTGAAGCTAAACAGATTAGCAACTCAGAAATGTCTGAAAACATGTATTTTCCTTTCTAGCCACTAGAGGGCAGACACAGATTGATTACAGGCTTCATAGCAGCCTTCTGCAGAACTTAACATGCTGAGATCATTAAACCATTTCAAATGAGTGAAATCAGTTTGGACATTACAAAGGCAAAGAGGAAACCGGTTCACAAGACCACAATAAGAAATCACCTTATACCGCAGTGCTAATTCAGCAAATACATATTTTCAACATGTTAGCTTACACATTTGTGTGTGCTTATACATATACCTTTCTGTCATTTTCATCATCTTCGTCATCCTGTAGACTGCTGGTGGACTGTTTGGGGTCAGAGAAAGTGGGACCCTGAGAGTAGTACTGAGAACTCCGGAATCCATCTTTCCTCAACTTATCACATTCTGGAGGACAAAGACAGATAAAAAAAAAAAAAGACATCAGTGGCTGTAAGAAGGTGACACCAAGGTGTGTTCATGGCCAGCTGTCAGCATTCCTTCAGCTTGAGTAGAAATGTAGAAGTTAAGATTGTACACTTTTCAGTTTACAAAAGAGTTTTTCTCAAATAAAGGCACTTTGATCAATTTTAGCTACAACTGGAGACAGTATTTATCTAGGGACATGACGCCATTTTAACTTATTGAAATACCAGCTTTGAACCGGATTTTATAACCTATGGCCCAAGAGGAGAAATCTTGGGTGGTGTGAGCTGCCTTCTTGCACACTTTTTTCTTCCATTTAATTTCCCATTAACATGCTTAGACACAGCACTCTGAGCTTCTTCAGCATTCACCTTTGAGGTCTTACCTCTCTGATGGAGGACATTGGTGACTGTCTGCTGGAAAATCTGCAATTCATCCAGGATTTAATATGAGCCATTGCTTATCATATCAATACAAAATTAATTCTTGTCTAATGTTATACGCTTATTTTGTGAGAAATACATTGTATGAACACCCTAATTATTAAAATCAATGCAAACAGGTTTTTGAGGTGGATGAATCTATATGAGTTCCACTTTTCCGCCTTAAATTACTCAAAATAGCTAATTCTTTTTTAATGTATTGGGAACATAACACATTAAATATTGAGCTAAATACCTGTCATCCCTATTTTATATGGCACACACATCTGCTAAGTACATTTTCTGTTGTTCGAAGAGGAAAATATTGTAAACTGAGCTTGTTATGTTCATCTGACAGTTGTGTGAGTGTGATCCCTTTTTGTACACTGCCAAGTGCTGCTTCTGTGTCTTTTTGTCACCACCTGCTGTCATGAGGACATGATGTGTGTAAGTGTGTGTGATGTGAAGAGATGTGTGTGTGTTTATGTGGAAGCAGAGGAGGTGATATCAGTTTCAGTCTGTCACACACAGATGGCAGAACCATCCCTCTCTCCCCTGCTTCCTCCTGTTCGCTCAGGGGGCATTTAACACATTGTTGCTTTGTTTGTCAGTGTCTGCAGTTTTCTTTTTTTTTTGTTTTTTTACTCATGCATCTTTTGTTTTGCTTTTTATATTGCACAACTTTTTGAGTATAGTGCATCTTATGTAATAAAAATCTAAAAACTCGATTTCAATCAACCGGCTTGAGCCTCAATTTAATGTCACGTCAACAAAAATCCGCTTATTCTGCAGTATTTTTTTCCTCTTTTGAAGCTTTGCTAATTAAGACAAATGTAAAAAAAAATCAAAAACAACACTTTTACTATATATATTTATTTGCTTTTGATACACATGCAGAATCTCTTGACGAATTCTGGAAGCGTATCAAAGTGCACCCACATTGCTATGAGCTTGGCACCTCAGAGATCCTCCTTTTGATCCTGTTTTATATTTAATTCATCCCCAAAGCTAATTACAGCCTATCCTGATGGAGAGACACACCGATGCATGTATAATACTGTCAGCTAATGGAGCCTGATGGGGCCAGCACACAGAGCTAATGTAAGAACAAGCTGATGAGGTGCCAGTCAGTGAGATGGGAATTAGAAAAGGATGATGGTAATTAGGAGGATGACAGAGAGAGATTGGTGGAACATGATTTGGGATGCCTGATAAAAAAAAAAAAAATTAAAAATACACCAGAGAGAAGTGCTTCTGGTTGCTAGGCAGGATGGAGGAAGAAGCAAAGGAATAAAACAAATAAAAGATGTTCCGTGTGTTTTAAAGAATGACGCAGATATTTCTGCTGATAGTCTCTGTTTACACTTCCTGTACACATGCAATATGGGTGTTTTTTTCATTCAAAAAATACAAATAAAAACTTCCATAAAATGGAGATTTTAAAAAAACAACAGGCATGTGTTTAGAGGATCATGCTGGTGGAGGGTTTTAAGACTTTAGTGAAAATGTGCACAACTCTCCTTTGCTGTAATGCTGTATTCTGTTGTTAGGAGCTGAAATCAAAGAATCAAGTTTCTTACATGCAATTCAGTCCTTGAAGGCTCTGAATACAATTAAATTTAAAATATTTTGACTAATTAACACTATATATTATTATCCTGACTGCTGAAGAATTGAAACCTCATTTACTTCAACCAGCTCGTGAGTTTTTCTGCAACTCGTCATTGCAGAAAAACTCATATTGGTGTCAAAGGGACACAGAGTTTGATTATTCAGAAATGTGGAGCAGTAAGCAGGGTCATGTGTCTATATTAATGTACTGTAGCTGGTTGCGTCTGCATGAAACTGCAATCAAATCTTACTTAATTAACCTTCCTACCCCTCATTTACTCTTGCCCTAAAGCATACAGTCATTTTCTCTGGGTCACAATCCAACTAGGTCTTTTTAATTATGAAAATATGAACCATTCTGCATAATGATGATTGCACAAAGTTACAACAATTAAAGTTTATAATACTCAATACTGAATGTATTTTTTTCTCCTATTTTTAATGTTTTATGTTTGTATTTTCATTTGAAGTTCAATGTTTTTAACTTTAAGAAAATTCTGAATGTAGTTTTAGAAAAAAAGGAAAATTGTTCACTCTTCAGACCTATTTCAATAGTTCTGAAAGAGCTTTTAAAATAGGTCAGAAAGTCATTAAAACTTTCAGTTTTAACAATCAGTTATTAAAACTGGTGATTTTAATCATCAGTTTTGACAAATTGATTATTAAAATAATCAGTTAATTTCAATAAACTGATTGATTTAATATAACTTAATGAGCTTTTGACTTACTTACACTGCAGCATATGTGTGGGTGTGTGTGTGTGAGAGAGAGAGACTCAAATAAAATATATCTATCAAAGCTTATGATAATAAAGTATTGATTAGAGAACAGTATCATATTTTCAGTCATTGACTATTAAACTGAGTGTGAAAAGATGCATGGAGGACATGAAAAGTTAAATTGTTGATGGTATTAAAAGGCCAAAAGTACAAAATGGTGACATTTGTACTTTTGACATTTGTTTTGTTTTTTTTTTAGCTACAAGAAAAATGAAATGACATCAACAAAGTCTTGCAGGCCTCCTGGAGTTGGACAGGTGCTTTCGCTGGACACCTGTTGTCTGTCAAATAGGACACCTGGGACGGTGTTGGATTACATTACAGGGGTTTCCATCAATATTTCAGGGAGTAATATCTATTAGTAAAAATTCAAGGGTAAAACAGAAAATGGGGGAAAAAAATCATGAGTGAGACAGAGACTCCAAAACCTGAAAGCATCATGTTACAACAGCTTGTTCCCCATTTGCTCCAGTTTCCCACCATTAACTCCAACACACAAGGCCAGACCAGAGTGTAAACGTTCTGTTTGCAGTAGTTAGCAGTTCTCCACTCACACACACACACACACACACACACACACACGCACACACACACCACACACACACACACACACACACACACACACACACACACACACACACACACCTGCATGAACTGCATCAACTTCTTTCACGGTTATCTGAGCAATGAGGCGATAAGGAGGCTTTTCCAAAATGTCTTAGCAAAACCAGTTTCAGAATTCACCGGTTTTCCTGCTTCCCTCTCTGGGAAACTGATCATTTTATATACACAGTTGTGTCTGTGCTGCAATTTGACTCCATGTGTTGACTGAGCAACAAAGGTGTGCCTTGTCTGTAACTGCACCGGACAAACAGGAATAAGGAGGATTTCACAGTGTTGTGTTGCTGGATAAACACAGAATGACGTGTTTGGACAGTTTTTACTGTGTCGCACACAAAGACTTGTTGCCTTGACGCAATGAGAAATGTTGGTCTCTGTCTACTGTTCTAGTGGTCAAAATGATCACTAATGTAGAGCCAGTAACACATTTATAAGCATACAGAAGACTTGTCCTTTTTAAAGTTGAAATATCCTGAATCATTTGCATTTTGGGGTTTTTTTTTATGACGAATCTGTTTGCAGCTAGAAATTAAACAGCACCTTTGTTTATGATAAATACCTATTTTAAAAGTAAATGTAAATTATCTCAAGTTCATTTACATTCTCTCTTTGGCACACCCTTTTCGCAAGGAAGAAATTCAAATCATCCAAGAATAAACAGGACTATTTCAAGGATTAACATTTGCTTTTCAGAACAAACTATTAAACATAGAGATGCAACAAGAAATATAATGTAATCAGAAGATTTAAACCTGAACAGTGAGAAACTAGTTTGTATACCATATTAAACACAACCAGGTAACGCTCTTCAATGTGAAGGTTGCTAATGAAAGAAGATGCCTCCATGTAAGCCATTTTTTCCATTATTGAGTTGTTTGAACTGTATTTTCTAAGTTGCATCAAGACATGTCTATATTTTATTTTACACAGAGAGAGAGCAAGGCCTTCATTAGATAACGAGAAGGTTGAACGCAGTGAAGTAAATCTTCCAGTCTCTCTCATTGAACATGCTAGCTTCAACATACTTTATTACTTTAATAGTAATAAAGTATAACAGTGTATATTTTGCAGTTTTTTTCAAGGTGCTTGGGCATTTTACTTAGGCAATATTTACCTCGCAAAGCAGTCTTAAGGTTGACTTTTGCCTGCCGGTGAAGGTCTTCTACACATGGCGGTCTGCTGCCGGGGAGGAAGACGTTCTCCTGTTGGTGCCAGGGAGCCGTGTAGTGGACCGTCCATTTGCTCTCCTCGTCCAGGTTAGACACAGCTGCAGAAACAACAAAGACTAGGTTATGAACTTTGTAGAATCAAGTAGGGTGAAATTTGAGAAATATCAATGAAACTGTGCCCCGGTATATCTCCTCTAAAAGAGCATTTTGCCACTGCTCTCTCCCAGTGTTACTTTGGCTTGATCAGGGACATTTTTTACTAGAGTAAATTGCTCCAAATACAAGTTAGAAGCACAATAAATCGAAATAGATTGGAGTATAAAGTCTTTATAAGCCAATATACAAATGATCTTAGAATTTTCAGCCTTTTGATGGTTACTCGTCGCCACAGTTTAAGAAAAATACGGAACTGCCAAGGGAAATAAACTAATTACCTATGCTTGTTAATGGGTAAAAAAGGAGTTTGGCTCCCAGTAAGAAATTGGAATAGGAAGAAATGAAATGAAATAAGGGTATAAATTGGTAATGACTGAAAAGTGATAAAAGAGTTTGTTTACACAAACTGGTGGAAAAGAGAGGATTTAGGTGGTCTTCTAAAGAGGTGTCAGACTCCCCTCCATCGACTCGACACTTATTTGAGACATCGCAAAGAAGTTTCACAAGTCAGAGGGGGGGAAAAGAGTTACAGCACCATCTAGGACTGAACTAAAACTTCTATTCAACCATGCCCTTTTCAAAAACAAAACGTTCTTTCAAGAGACAGATACTGTGACATACCAATTCTATTTGAAAGCACAATATGTACAGCATTGTTCCAAACTAAAAGCTACAGAGACTGAAAGACACTCACTACAGATAACCCTCAATGGACCTTTCATTAGACAGACGTTTTCTTTACGCCACTGGAATGAAGGAATCGCTTCCTAAAGTTGCAGTTTGGTCTTTAAGCTTACCAAGTGAGCGCAGCCAGGCTAAGGTTGGCGAACGTGGATGTAGAATTAACTCCATTTAAAGCAGCATCTGTTTCACCTTCATGACCACTACAACTCTGAGAGATCGGCACAAGTCCCGACCGGAGCAGGATGAAGGGGGCCGGATCACAGCAGCGGATGTAGGTGTAGGGAGTGTTTTTGTTCTTTCCTACACAGGTGCAAATGAGCCATGGTAGAATGCACTGCATGTGTGTGTTGGGGGTGGATGGAGACACTAGTGGGCTAGAGGGGGTGTGGAGGAGTGTAGCGCTACAAGTGGGTCGTTTAATAACATGTAGCCGCTTTGCTATACAGTTAAACTTTTAATATGTCTCAACAGTGACCATTACAAAGGGTGCTTCTGTATTTAACCTGAGAGTTAAAAAACATTCATTCTTTCTACCTCAGAGAAAATCAGTAGCAACTCTTAAATTCAGCGCCTTCATGCCGCCACAGCTCATTCATAAACATTCATCCATTCACCGCTTGTATGTTGAAGAGAAGGTTCATTGTATTTATTCATGTCCCCTCTCCATTGCTTCTCCATTTCTGCTACATGTGTGTTGCGTGTAGTCATGCTGAACTGCAAATGGCCGATGCAGGTGGGGAGTCTGGTCCATGCATCCAACATTACTGTTATTGAGTGGAATAGTAACATGAGTGAGCTCTAAAACCAAAACTTAAAAAAGTGAGGAAACGCAAGCATGTAAAGTGTGGAGAGTTACACTGATTGGTTACCATTGCAAGGCAGGTTTCCACAGGAACAGGAAGTTTTTCTAGGAGCAAGGGAAAGTTTCTGGGGCCCTAATTGCCCCAATGCTCCTCCACAGCATTTACCAAAGTAACAAGAAATTATCAGGGTGGAAAATTTAAATGAAATCTTGTGCTGAGAGGCTGCCAAGCACTTTGAATTGGTTTAATTTTTGTAACATTATACTATAGTCATTTGTGCTCAGGAGACTTTGTTCCAGAAAAGTTTTGTTTTGTCTGTTGAACTTGAAAAACTGTTGAAAAACCGCAAAACATCCAAAATGGAATTTCTATAAATCAATGCTCAAGACACGCATTGCTGTTGTTCAACAATAACTAAAACACTGATTAATATATGTGATGTAAATTTGGAAGTAATTACTATGATGATGGCATTTGATATAATTAGTTACAGAGCTATCTTTTTAGCATGCAGGATTTCCTCCAGCATATTATAAGCCTAATTAGTCTATTTCCAGCAATCTGTGGTCAAAGAATGTAAATCATTTATCCAAATGTAAAAGTTTAGGGTTTTAAGCCCTTTATGTTATGAAACAAATAAATTATGGATCATTAACAGACTTTTAAGACATAAAGACATACTTTTTAGACTCCTTTTGACACGTCTTTCAGGCATTATTAATAAAAGTATAGGAAAACTCATGAGAAAAAATATTTCTCATGAGTTATGTAATCTTAAATAACATTTATAAAAAACCTTTACTGAGGTAATATTACAAACAAAATCTTTGTTTTAAAAGAAATTATAAAAGTATTGAATTATAAAAATAAATATAAAAACAATGAAGTTGAATATCTTTTTTTTTAAAAAGCTTAAAAAATAAAATTAAATAATCAGATTAAAAGGTTAAAAACAAAATGCTCAAAAGCACTACAAGAGAAAAAAACCTTAAATTTAATTGAATTTAGAAGTTGATGATTTGACAACTTCTGTCAGATCATCCTTGAGCAGATTGTGAATAAGAGCAGATTTTAAGCTAATCAAAGATTTCACATTCTCCATTTTGTATCTGTTGCTCACATACAGACGGGACAGGTAGCCCCCTCCCCCAGCCTCCTCTCCCACCATGGGCTTTGAAAAGAGTAGTGAGGAGACCAAGGACATGGAGGCTGGGGACACAAAGCCAGTATTGTCCCACCGCATCAGTCTCCACATCAGGCGTTTCAGTGCCACAATAGCCCCTCGCTCCCAAACACACATACACACAGGACACTGACGCATAAGTCTTTTTGAAAGTTCAGTAATCCCTCTGTCCACTGACATCCCAGCCCTCCCAAGGCTCCTACCATATAGAAACTGGGAGAAAACAGGCTAGTGAGAAGTTTGAGGAGCACGTTATGAGAACCAGTAATGAGAAACAGGCTGCAGGACAATGGGAACATGGTAGACAGAAAATAGTTTGCACCAAATCATTTAAACTGCGGTCATGTTTTTCCAACCTCAGACCCAAATCAACTGGTGGGACTGGAGGCATTTTAGTTGTACTCAAGAAAAATTATGATGCAAATTCTTTGCAAACAACCAAAGAAACTTTGCAGCGATCAAGTTTGATGTGTGAAATAAAAGTTGCAGTAAACTATGCAGAATATCTTGGAAATCATCTTGAGCCCAACATAAAAAAAAAGAACTTTCTTCTTCATGTGTTTAAAAGGGGGAAAAAAAAGTTGCCCAAGACAACCAACCCCAAAACATTTGTGACTGCTCATTTATTATCCAGGATATAAAATATGTTGTGAGGAAGCTTTTATTTTCACACGTGAGAAAGGTAAAGGGTGGAGGTAACGATTAACACCTCAGCCTCAACTTTGACACAAACATAAGCTATAAATAACCTGCAGATAAACTTTTCAAGCAGCTTGTCCTGCGTCAAAGAGGTCTAAGTCCTCACGTGCTTAATAAACACTCATTGATTAAATAAGTCGTGCAATATTATCCATGGAGTACTAAGCAGAGTCTACTTCATCTGAATAATACATATGATTTTAGTATTTTCTCTTCTAAATAAAGAACAAAAACACTATATTATCTCTGCAAGTAAAAGGAATCCAAATCATTTGTTGTGATTTAAAGTCTCTTCATTTTCTTATCAATGCTGCGTGTCAGTATGACATCTTTGACCAAAGGTTACCTGGTAACAGGGTGAAACACAGACTATTAGTTGTAATGAAAATCATTTAAACATTATTAATTCAAGTATTTTTTATCCCCTTTGCAGAAGTTAAAACATGAACAGCTGCTGGAAATCCATATACAGAGCCAAAATTTTGTTTTAATCTGACAACAGCAAAAACGTTTATCAGCATCCAAAGGAATAAAAGAGATAAACTTACCCTTCCTCTTAAAGTACTTAATTACAGATTTCAATGATGTCCCAATAAACACCATTATTCCGATTGAGTGTGATATTCTTAAAAAATAAAAATTAAAAAAATCAGTCAAATCCTGGAATAAAATAGGGAAATATGAAGATGAAGGTGTGATGCTGAGGACGCTCACATTCTCACAAGTCCACGCGGGCGTCTGCTGTGCTGACAATACGTCTCTAACCCCACATCTCTCTACAAACACACACACACACACACACACACACACATGGTCCACCACTCCTCCCCATCATCAACACTACCACGCCTCCAGCAGCCAGTCCAGTCCTCAGAGACACACAGCGGGAGGGAGGGAGGGAGAAAGGGATGGAGGGAGGGAAGGAGGAAAGGATGGAGGGAGGGAGGGAGGGAAGGAGTAAAGGAGGGAAGGAGGGGGGCAGCCCCGGCCTCTCTCCTTCTCTGTGTGATGGTTACCAAGGAGTTCTGGCAGCCCAACCCTTTACTTCTCATCGTTACAGATTCTTCTGCAGCATCTTTGTGCATCTATGCTGACAGAGCTGAAAATCAAAGCTTTTTGTTAAAGCACACAAGCTTTGACAGCTGATAATTATTCTAATATATTTATTTTTTTCTTTCCAAAGCTTTCCTCCTTGACTAAAAATCTATAACATCAGAACCTGCAACCAGGAAAACAATATGCATCAAATTACTGCAATCACATTTATCAAATTTAATATTGATGAAAAATTTTTAACTCGTAAAAAAAATCAAATAAACTTAATTTCCTCTATGTGGCTGAACCTGATTGCTATGTTGACATAAAACCATTGCATCTGTGCTACATAAAAATAGACCCAATGTCCAATCTGTTGGGGTCTATAGCACACAAACTCCAACACCACTCTTTCAGACACACACCCATTAGTTCAGCACAGCCCCTCCTTTAGCAGCCGTATTTAATTTCAGCCAATGCGGTTGAGAAATAAAGGGAGGTGAGGTTGAAGGGGTGCAACAAGAGCTCCAGTCAGACA